TCAATGGGACTTAATAATCTGTTTTGAGGAATGCTGGCCTTTCTCTTGAGCATTATGAAAGTCATGTGTAGGTTCTGGCTTCTGTTTTGTTGCTCTGAGGAGAGTCAGTACTTTGGTTAAGCAGTTACATTGCGCAGACTCAGTTACAGGCTGTCAGACCGGCAACTCTGACTTCAGGTCAGTGCCTAATCCAATGGCGAACTCTTTTCTATGTTGTTTCTTCATGGATGGTTCAAGATTCAGCACAGCTTTGGGCTCAATTTATGTCCATATTTAGGGGTTTTCCTTCTCTTTCTCTTTGTAGGATTTCTCTCTCATGCTTCGGCAGCCTTGCTACCACTTGCACCGGTTCCTAAAAGGAGCTCCTTTTTGTAGAAGAATTTAGCTACTCCATTGTCATGTTTTATCACTGTGGCTGTTGCTACTCTCAGTGTAAAGCTTAAACCAAAGAAAGAAGGTGCCCAGGTTCCTCACCTGTCTCAACATTACACTCTTCCCTACTTGCAGAAACTACCTGTTGTTGAGACCCAGGTACCTGTTGTCGATGGATATTTTTAAATATAAGTCATTCAAGTCTCTACAGAAGGACAGTATTCTTGGTCAGTGAAAAAGAAGAGTCTCTTAATATGAGACAATGGCAGCAAAAATGGACTCATACATAACAACAATTGAAAAGATGGCCGAGGACAGGCCAGTGTTTCCTTCTGTCGTGCATAGGGTCACTATGAGTTGGCACTGACTCAGCAGCACCTAATAACAACAACAATAACACCTAACAATAACAACGTGGGAGGGCAGTCTTTGTCCTCATGTAACTTGCCTGGGCATGCCCTTAATGATTTGCAATTGACGTACTAGGGCTGCGTGGTCATGTGTCACATGGTGAAGTGGCCAGATACATGGTGGTGAAAAGGTCCCTGAAACATCCCTGCAAGCTTTTCTAATCTGCAATTGTGTATGCATCCCAATCATGGTCCTTTTCAGGCTTTTGTCACTCTACTTGTGACTGTTGGAGTGATCTGCAGAAAATCATGATTTTCTGATGATTTCTATCATCTGTAATTAGCTATATGACTGTGAATCCTTTCCACGTCATTATGGGCTCATGCTGATCGTCTCCCGCATCTGAATGGTCTTTGTCTTCTCTTTGTCTTAAGGCTTACTAAATATACTATAAAATATGTTTGAAAAAAATAAAATATGAGTCATTGAAGGTCAGTGTCTTACATAAAACTCTTTAATAGAGTCTCATCATCTATAGAATATCATCCAGTTTTAGGACCTCTCCTCCACACTCCTTGCTCACCACAGGCATGCCAAATTGTTCTCACTTCAAGTTGTTTTGTTTTGTTTTCCTTCTTTAAACAAATGGTGGGTTCATTCAGTCAGTCATTCTTTTGGAACAATCTCTCTTTAGAGCTCTGAATCCCTGAAGGTGCTTTTGCCCCCACTTGGGTCTTGGTCTCCCTATATCTAGAGTGGATCTCCATTCATCCGGCATCATGGAGGCATCCATTTAAAAGACAAGAGTACTTATCATGATATGATATTTACCGAGCTCCTGTTGGTTTCATGTTACTAAGAAGGTGAGAGCACTCTGAGAATGACCATATATCCCTGGTGCATGGAACATGGCCAGACACATCTGTAGTGCTCAGTAAGCAAATGCATGATGAATTCTGATGAGTTGGAAGTCTATATCTGGCTGATCAGCCAAATTTGGGCAATTCACACAGTAAATCAAGGAATGGTTTGCCTTTGATATGCTCGGCTCACAGTGGAAACCCAGTGATTGTCAATGAGGCAACTCCTAGACACAGATGAGCCGGCACTTTCTTCAGCTCCAAGTGCTGCTGTGAGATGGCAGGCACTGTGGGAGAACAGGAGGATAGGACAGAACAAGAAAGGAGTGTGTAAATGGAGAAGGGAGGCTGAAAGGCTGAAGAGCAAGGGTACTGTTTTCCAGATAGGCATCTTTCAGAAATTACATGTCATCTGGCTAGCCCAGCAATGCGACTAGTTTCTTCACCAAATACAAAGTTTGTCAGGAAGATCTAAGCGAGTCTCAAATTGGGCAAAATGCTCTTTTCACAACAATCTATCCAAAAGGACTGCTTCTCATTTAACTTTATAACCCCTCCCCCACCAGAGCAGAGAAAAAGAGGAAGACCCCCAACAAGATGAATTGGCCAAGTGACAGCATCAATGGACTCAAGTATGGCAACAGTAGTGAGGTTGGCCCATGATTGGGCCATGTTTTGTTCTGCTGTGCATAAGGTCTCTATGGGTCGGTACTGAATCAATGGCACCTAACAACAACAACAACAAACCAGAGCAGAGGGCCTGGTGTATGGAAGGTACGCGGTACCTCCATTCGCCTAGTTGCCAATCTGAACCTGGATTCAGAAAACCAGTGTGTGTCTCCTTTTAAATAACACATGGCTTGATCCATAATGGTAGACAGCTACTGTCCAGTCAGCTCCTGCTTATGGTGACCCACAGCACAATGGAACAAAACACTGCCTAGTTGGTGGCAGATCAGATCATTGTTGTCCACAGGCTTTTCCCAGGCTGATTTCTGGAAATCCATCACCAAGCTTTTCTCACTAGTCTGTCTTAGTCCAGAAGCTTCATTAAAACCTGTTCAACATCACAGCAACACACAAGACTAATGACGGATAGATGGAGCCCATGTGTGAGGTATCCTGGCTGGATTGAATCCAGGCCTCCCATGTGAGACGTACAAAATCTACCATGGAATCATCAATGCCTCAGTCCCAGACTAGCCCTAACAATTCCTTCCTTAGGATGGTGTCTGCTTCTGTTAATAGAAAGAAACCAGGGTGTGCCGGCCTGAGGGCATCTGAAAACTGTACATCATCAGCAGCAGGAGTTGCTCTCACCAGGCGGGTTGTCATCATAAATCCACAGCACACGTGTGACGTTCAGCCTTCAATGCATTTCTCACCATCTTGATGCAAGAGAGGTTCCTGCACAACCTAGAGGCTCATGCCATCAGATTGGCATGATTGGTGTATCCTAATCCCCAAACTGCTAGGCTTACAATGACTTCTCACATAGTTAGAAATATGAAGCACCGGACCAGTTGTGTCAAAAAATCTTCAAGACAGACACGTAACAGCTATGTTCCCGAGAAAACCACCCATGAATTAGGAAGTGATGGGATGGGGACTCAAACCTAGATTTTTCAGCAGCAAAGTTAAAAAATAAATCAAAACCAGGAAAGCAAACTCTCTGCATTCCAGTCAATTCTGATTGGAATGTTGGAATGTAGTAAAACCACAGAACAGAACAGAGCCACTCATTACCGTTTCCAAGACTGTAAATCTTTATGGAAACACATTGTCTTATCTAGTCCCCTGAGAGGTGGCTAGTGGTTTTGAACCACCAAACTTAATGCTTAGCAGCCCAATACTTAACCCACTGCACTACCAGGGCTCCTTTCCATTACAATAAATCGGTATCAATTCTACAATTTCTGTTGTTATTAAGTACCAAGTAGGGTATGACTCATAGTGACCCTGTATAGGGTGTCTGAGAAGTGGCTGGTGAACTTGAACCACCAACCTTGCAATTCAAACCAAGCTTATAGTCTAATGCTTATTATGTAGCGCCAAGCCAAAATGCTCATACAGAATACTTAATAGGGAGTTACCCACTGCCATTGCTTAGAACTGTCCCACAGAGTCCAAAGCTCTCATTTTTTTTTTTTTTACAGAAGCAGACTGCTACATTTTTCTCCCACAAAGCAGCTGGTGAGGGTGAGTTTGAACCACTGACTTTTCAGTTAGCAGTGGATCTCTTAACCACTTTGCCACCGGGAGTTTTTCATAAGCAGTTACAAAAACTTGAAACCTTAAGCCCTCTAACCCAAGTTTGGAGATATTAAAATAAAGATCACGAGTTATTTAGTTAATAGGATTGGTTAGCATATTATTGACCAATAAACTGCTTTTAATAAGAGGGAGAAGTAGTCCTTGTGAGGCACTGTAGGCTAAGCACTGGACTGCTAACTTCCAGATCATTAGTTCAAATCCACCAAGTGCTCCATCGAAACCCTATACAGGGTTACTATGAGTTGGAAGCAACTTGATGGCACTTACCAATAGCATTCCACAAGTACACTTTTTTATTCAAAGTTGTGAAGTGCCATCGAGTTGATTCTGACCCATAGCGACCCTGTATAGGGTTTCCAAGGAGCAGCTGGTGAGCTTGAACCGCTGACCTTGCAGTTCAAATGGCAAGTTACTCTAAATTACCACCAGTGAGTAGCACTATAACATAAGCACTGGATTGTTAACTGCATGGATGGTGGTTCAACTTTCACCAGCTGCTCCTCACAAACCCTAATAGGGTCGCAGCACTACCTCCACCAGCAGGAAGAAGCCGTATTATTATGAGTTCTGACCCTCTTTAAGATACTCAACTCTTCTTTCATTTCATCAATAATATTACCTTTAAGTACTATATTGAGGAGCATTTGATGGTTATTTCTTACATTACATTTCTAGGAAACGTTATTTCATTCTCAGACTTTGTCTGTACTTGTTAAGCAGCTGACTAACCAGCTCAGACCGTATACCTTCAGATTGTCGATAGCACAGTGACAGGAAGCAAGTCTCCAGGTTTCATCTCCTAAATATGGCCCACAGTTTAAATCAAAGTAACAAATGTACAATTAACCTAAGCAAAGGAGAAATGTGTACTCAGCACCCTGAAAAAAATGACCTGGTTGAGTTATGAGTCCTCTCATTTTGCTAAGTAGCTATAAAAATGAGCCTTTCATTTTTCAGAGGTACCACTGGCCTTTAGATCAGATGATTCAAAGGAAGAAGAAAAACAACTTGTACATTTTATCCACACAGGGGTATTACATCCTGGCCAGGCAGTTTTACCTCTGCAGTTTCCACAGATCAACTAAAACGTTTCTATAAGTTGTTGTCACGGGTCTCTGGGGAACTCCACAAATGGTGGCTCACCTTATGGAAGTTTCTGAAATAAGCTGCCTTTTCATCTGGAAACTTCTCTAGTCTTCTGGGACCTTTGCTGGAAGCCTTCTTGAACACCAGCCAGCACCGTCGGAAAATCTGAAAAAGCACAGAAAGAAGCAGGTGATCCATCTTTCTCAGATGTGCTTACTTGCAGCAGACTTCGTCTTGTCAATTAATTCAATGTGAGGAAACTGTAAAATGCACGTGTGTGTGTGTGTGTGTGTGTGTATGTGTGTGGTGAGTCATGAGCACGTGACTCATTAAAACAGCAGCAAAATTTAAAAACAAGATTTAATCTAACTCTGATTCTTTTTCTTTTGTGGAAAGGTTTTAAAGGATGACGTTTTCTAGAGCGCTGATTTCAATCATCCTCAATCTAATTAAATCACCTGGATGTCAATGCAAGTGAAATGATTCATTTTCACCATGTGGTTTCAGGCAATTCCTGAAATCCGTGCTAATGAAGTGGAGACTAAATAAGGTTAAGTGAAACATTTCCACAATGCTCCATCTTCTATCCTAGAAAAAAATCACATGCAAAAACTATCTTGTAGGATTTTAGTTTTAGAAAACAGAAAGGAATACATGACCTCAATGGACACAACTGTGTCTCATTCTTATATATTTATATCACCAATATTCATTAAACACCATGTATAATACAATTTTAAATGTTTAGGCACATTTAAGCTTCAAAATTCCTGGAGGAGGTAGATGCTGTTACCTTTGTTTTAAAATAAAGGTAGGTCACCGTGAGGATCTGAACACATCTCCCCTGGCACAGTGGTTAGCGTGTTTGGCTGCGAACCAAAAGGTTAGTGGCTCAGAGCCACCGGCCGTTTTGCTGGAGAAAGGTGAATCCATGTGCTTCCATACAGCTTTGCAGTTATGGAAACCCTCCGAGGCAGTTCTAGTCTACACTACAGAGCCATTCAATGGCACTGGGGTTTTTATTTATTTATCGGACTCTTGGGTGAAAATGTAAGCCTAGTAATTACACAAATAATTTGATATGTCTTAGACATGTCTCACTGTACTGTCAGGGTGCTTTTAAGACAATTTGTAATAAAAATTATGTAAAAGCAAGCAGAATTTCGCTTGCCCACCCCACCACTCCCAAAACAGATAAGATTTTATCAGGATCTTGGGCGGGTAATGATTGATGATATCTATGAAATGTTTTTGCTAACTAGAGACAATAAATTATTCCTTTTTCAAAAATGTAAAACAAAAACCTCATACAAGTTTGCGTATTTGTGTGAAACACACACTCTTTTATATGCAAAGAATAAAATAATCCAACTCTGATTAATATCCTATTCTGAATAACTGTTCAATAATGGATTGTATGTATAGATTCCTAAATGCAATTCAATCAATTTCACAAGTATCCATAAGGAACTTAATATGTGCCACTATTGAAGGCAGAAAGAACATGAGGGAGCTTCAAAACTTCATGGAAAATGGAATTAAAAGACAATGGAATTTTTCAATAGTGAATAATTGTTACCATGACTAATTGCAACTATCACAATTGTAAAGGTAGAAGTGTTGTAACAAAAAGGGAGAAGTAGTTAATATTGTGTGGATCTTGACAAGCTATGGACAACATTGTTTAGTATGAGTATTCCAGAACACTTAATTGTCCTCATTAGGAATCTGTACATGGACAAAAAGGCAGTTGTTAGAACACAACATGAGAACACTGAATGGTTTAAAATTAAGAAAGGTGTGCGACAAGGTTGTAGTCTTTCACCATACTTATTCAACCTGTATGCTGAGAAAATAATCCAAGAAACTGGGTTATGTGAAGAAAAATGTGGTTATCAGGATTGGAGTAAGACTAACAACCTGCGATATGAAGATGATACAACCTTGCTTGCTGAAAGTGAAGAGGACTTAAAACATTACTGATGAAGATCAAAGAGCACAGCATTTGGTATGGATTGCATCTCAATGAAGAAAACAAAACTCCTCACCACTGGACCAATAAACAACATTCTTAACAATGGAGAAAAGATTGAAGTTGTCAAGGACTTCATTCTTCTTGGATCAACTATCAACATTCATGGAAGCAGCAGTCAAGAAATCAAACAACGTATTGCATTAGGCAAATTTGCTGCACAAGACCTTTTTAAAGTGTTGAAGAGCAAAGATGTCAGCTTGAGGACTAAGGTGCGCCTGACCCAAGCCATGGTATTTTCAGTAACCTCATATGCATGCGAAAGCTGGACAGTGAATAAGGAAGACCATAGAAGAATTGACGCTTTTGAGTTATGGTGTTGGAGGAGAATATTGAAAGTACAATGGGCTTTCCAAAAGAACCAACAGATCTGTGTTGGAAGAAGTGCAGCCAGAGTGCTCCTTGGAGGCCAGGATGGTCAAAGTTTGTCTCTCATACTTCGGACACATTGTCAGGAGGGACCAGTCGCTGGAGAAGGATATGTTTGGTAAGGTGGAGGGTCAGAGAAAAAGAGGAAGACCTCTAGTGAGATGGATTGGAAAAGTGGCAGCATCAAGCGTGGCAACAATTGTGAGGTTGGTACAGGACCAGGCGGTGTTTTGTTCTGTTGGGCATAGGGTCTCTGTAAGTCGGTACCAACTGTTTGGCGCCTAACAACAATAACAGTTAATCTTACATTCCAGGAACAGAGGACCCTAGGACCATCAAAGAAGAGCATGAGCAGCATGTGGGACCCCACCCAGAGAAGCAGCAACACCAGAGATGGAGACTAAAATGATGACATGGAGAGAGAGAGCAGCTGAGGACTTTAGACCTATGGAAAGAGAAAGGCTGTGTGCTGGTGGCCATCAGGCAGGCTTAAAGAAGGTGCCCTTTGATTATTTAAATGACTATATATTCCTGAGTGTGTTTGTGTACATCTCAAAAAAAAAAAAACAAAACAAAAAAAAACCTCACAGGGAATAGAAGCAAATACTGTTAAATGATGATGCATGAAGGAGATTGTAATCATTGCAATGAAACAATGAATATAAAACGGATGTTATTCAATGTAAACTATCACTAAATTCCCAATAAAAACTTAAAAAAATAAATTTCAAAATGAAAAAAAAAAAAAAAAAGACAATGGAAAATTTCCACTAATTTTTTGAAGCTCCTTCATATAATCACGCATAGACCTGGTTGGGAGACATTGACAATCTAGTGGGGTAGACAAGCATATAAACAAATCAGGTCAAATTGCTGAAAACAGAATGACCACAGTGATAATCTTCGGGCACTCACAAGGACTGGGGTACCTGACAGCCTGGGGAAGAACAGTTCAATAGAAGAAAGTTGCTGAGAGGAGGCAAAGACACATGATCACTTCTGGACTTTGCCCCACGTCAAATTTTTACATTGATTTGTCACCTGACTCCCGCCCTCTGATTCATGTTCCTAGTTACATTTTGAGGCAAAATACTGAAAATGAAAATGCAAATTGCTCACAACTTTTACATTTCAATGTTTAGCTTTCCATCTCTCTTTCTCTCTTTTCTGTTACAGTCTCCACGGCCATAAAGAAATTCCTAGCTGAAACCCTCAGAAACTGTCATTTCAATTTCTTTATTTAAGTTCAAACTTCCCAAACATTGTTTCTGTTTTTACTAACATACCCATTACCAGTGAGCTGGTGCTGACTCACAGGAACCCTAAAACACAGTGTAGAAGTGGCGCAGAGGACTTCACAGCCTGCAAGTTCCACAGAAACTGAAGGCCTCATCTTTCTCCTTTGGAATGGTTGGTAGATTCAAATTGCCGACCTTTGGGTTAATAATCAAGCGCCTAATTACTCACAAAGGCCAGATGGTATCAATTTTTGAGGTAGGCGCTCTGGTAGCATAGTGGTTACGAATTAGGCCCTTCGAAACTACCAGCTGTTCCGCGGGAGAAAGATGAGGCTTTCTGCTCCCGTAAAGATTTACAGCCTCGGAAACCCTGTACAGGGTCACTATGAGTCGGACCCGACTCCACGGCACACAACAACAACAATATTGTTGATTATTGAATCGAAGGCAGTAGTACTCATGTTAAAGGCAATCTTAGAGCAATTGCATAAGGACCTCTCATTATACAAGCAGGATGCAGCTAATAATAGAACATCCTGCCTTTATGGGCTCCTTTTCTACAACCAGGGGAAACACATGAATGGAAAAATATAAATATCCTTCCCACAAGAATGTGTCCACAGTCTGATTCAAATACATCTATCTGGAGTCCATTGAGCCTTCAGTCCTGGCTCTCTTCCTGCACACGTGTTTAGTTAGCTCATTGTGTTATAGTCAGTTGACAGCTACATACTCATCTCTTCCCCTTCAGACTAATTCATTTCTAATCCCACACTTCCACAGAAAACTCTCAGAAGCACAGTAAAGGAGTAGCATCGCGTGGAATGAATGGACGCGTGTTTAGGTACTAAAACACTAAGAAATTAAAAATGTTACTTAACTCCCAGACCAGCATATGCTTTATCTAGCTTTAATGAACTCAACTCTATATGAAACGTGGAGTCCTGGCGTGGTGCTGCAGAAAAATGTGCTTGACGGCAAGGTCGGTTTGAACTGAAAACTCACCAGCTACTCCTTGGAAACCTACACAGAGGTGCTATGAGTCAGAACCGACTTGACGGCACTCAACAACAACATAATCAATTCATTTAGTGTTGTAGAATTCTTCTCCTAAATTACAAAATAGACATCTATTAAGTGGTAATAGTTTAGACAGCACAAACACATATGTACAGACAGCTTGGTGCTGTAGAAAATTAATATATCTTTGAAATCAGATGGAGTTTGATTTACACCAAGGCTGGTTCCACCACTTGTCTGTTACTTTGTCGTACTGTGGTAACTTGCATGTAGCGATGACGCTGGGATCTATGCTGCCTTGATTTCCAATACCAGCAGAGTACCCATGGTCTTATTCATAATGTTTTCGTCTTCAAACAAAAAGTACTGCTACCATTTATAATGTTTTCAGCAACTAAACATTCAGAAGTAGTCTATTTTCCTTCTTCATACTCTGTCTTTGTCTGGAAACTCTACTGAAACCTTTCAACCATGGGTGACACTGTTGGTATTAAAAATACTGGTGG